AAAAAAAAATTATAAAAAAAAAAAAAAAAAAAAAAAAAAAAAAAAAAAAAAAGGCTGGCAAAGGAGAGGTACTTAGAAATATAACTCAGATGAAATAAAAGATACAGGATAGCCAGGCATTGGTGGAGCACACACCTTTAATCCCAGCACTCAGGAGGCAGAGGCAGGCGGATCTCTGTGAGTTCGAGGTCAGCCTGGTCTCCAGAGCGAGTGCCAGGATAGGCTCCAAAGCTACACAGAGAAACCCAGTGGGGGGGGGGTGTGGATAAAAGATATATATATAAAAAAAAAAAATCTTACGTACACAAATTTAGGGAGTATAGTATTTATGAACCTTTTTCAAAAAAAAAAAAAAGCAAATACAGTGAATTGTGGGTAAGTAATGAAAATAACACAGCAATGGAGGCAAGAGACTAAGCTGAGAGACCTCAGTGAGACAACCGTTACATCACTCCAGCTAAAGTAACTGATCTCACATATGCAAGGACTGAATTCAATCACCGGCACTGGGAGAGGTGTAACCACAGTAATACACCATGAGACATGTACCCTGATAGTGAAAATGCCATCAAAGAAAAACAGAAAACAGATATGCGTATGATGTAAGAAGTTTTAAAAAGCATCAATTTCCTTATCTTCCTGACAGAAAGTCTACTGATCTGAAAATGAAACTTACTTAAAAACAATTAAAATAGGCTGGTGAGATGGCTCAGTAAGGTATTCTGCTGAAAGTAAGGTTGTAAGGTCACCAGCTGCCAAAACCAACAACCTGACTTTGATCTCAGTGATCTACCTACATGGCTGAAAAAAAAAAGACCAACTTCCATAAGTTGTCCTCTAACCTCCACAGTTGCTCCTCCTCAAATTAAGAAATGTGAAAATATGTAACTAATAATAAGTACCTTTAAATTGTACTTATTTGAATAACTGGGGGATTATACCCAGGACCTAATATTAGGTAAGTACTTGCTAACCTTTCTATTATGAGAAAGAGTCTCTAAAAATGCCTGGGCATTCCTCGAACATGATCCTCCTACCTCAGGCTCTGAAGAGCCGATTACAGCCCTGCACCACCAAGCATTGGAACCCCTAGCGCTGGGAATTGAACCCACATCCTCTGGAAGAGCAGCCAGTGTTCTTAACTGATGAGACACTTCCCCCACCCTCTACATCTTTAAATTAAACAGCTTATATATCGTATGATCGTTTCTATAAAGTTGTCTTTCTTTAAATTTCTATGATAAACTCCTGTACTATCAGAGAATTTTTCTATTTTCTATTTTGTAGTGGGAATATTTATGTGAAGTACATTCATTTCAAGCACACAATTTTATGAGTTTGACAAGTACTTACACCAGTGGAAAAAAACCCCACAAACAAGAACCCAAAATTATAGTAATATTTCTTCTTTGTATATTTTTTTTACAATGCTTGAATTTTTATAAAATTTATTTTATAGCCAGGCGTTGGTGGCGCATGCCTTTAATTCCAGCACTTGGGAGGTAGAGGCAGGCGGATCTCTGTGAGTTCGAGGCCAGCCTGGTCTCCAGAGCAAATGCCAGGTAGGCTCCAAAGCTACACAGAGAAACCCTGTCTCAAAAAACCAAAGAAAGAAAGAAAGAAAGAAAGAAAGAAAGAAAGAAAGAAAGAAAGAAAGAAAGAAAATTTATTTTATGTATGTATTTTCCTTGCATGTCTGTCTGTGTACTATGTGCACGCCTAGTGCCCCGAGACCAGAAGAGGGCTTTGGATCCCCTGAAATTGGAGTTATAGACAGTTGTGAGCTACCAGGTAGGTGCTGGAAACCAAACCCAGGTCATCTGCAAGAGCAACAAATGCATATAACTGCTGAGCTGTTATATGCTTGAATATTTTCAACTATAATATAATGTCATGCTTAACCAAAAGACAACACAAACCCATGTACATATAAAAAGCTTAAAGAGCAATGGTCTTGGTTTTTACCATTATAATATCCTGCAGCCAGGTGGTGATGGGGCCTGGTAGGCATCCAAGCCAGGCTAAGGCACTGACCACACTCAGAGGGGTCTGAAGCTTGCACAGACCCCACCTGAAGGGTTGCCAAACACTGTACCTGTAAGGATAAAAGAGATAAGATCACAATTAGGGATTCTTACTGCTTGAAATAAGACTCTAATCAGTTTTGTTTTTTTTTGTTTTTTTAAAGATTTATTTGATGTGTCTAAGTGGCTTCTGTGTGTGTGTATCTGGTGCCCATGGAAGCCAGAAGAGGCGGGGGTCAGATCTCCTAGAACCAGAGTTATGGTTGGTTGTGAGCCATCATGTAGATGCTAGGAATCAAACTAAGGTCCTCTAAAAGAGGAGAAAGTGTCTCCAGCGCCCTCAAATCTGTTTTTTGTTTTGTTTTGTTTTTTGAAGACAGGGTTTCTCTGTGTAGCCTGGAACTCTCTGTCGACCAGGCTGGCCTCAAACTCACAGAGGTCCACCTGCCTCTGCCTCCCCAGTACTGGGATTAAAAGTGTACGCACCACCTCCTGGCTTCAAATCAGTTCTTAATCCAGAAGGGGATACTTTTCACAAGTGAAAGACTCACTGTAGAATCTGTAAAATAAGGCTCTGGGAAGATGAAGCCTCAACTAAGATAACAGGTTTCCGACTCACCTTGTAGATGGCAGGCTTCATAGCATCTGTGAGGGAAGAAGAACAAACAGCTGATACTTTGGATCCACAGGGTTGAGCTCCTATGCAAGCCTTGCTTTGAGACCAGGATCTCAGGCCCAGGCAATGCCCTTCCTTCATCCTCTCACCATCTCCACCTGCCCCTCTTCTTCCCCAACAGTAGCTTTCCTTCTTTTTCCTTCTGTGAGAACCACTAACTACTCCACATGGTCTTCTTTGCTGTTTCTAGAATTCTGCTCATTTGCTCAGTTTTTTTTTTTTCCATTAACCATTTGCTCTTTCCTTACTGACTCGTTCCTACAGTTCTATGTATATTATACATGCTCTACTATTTCCTCTTCAAGAGTTAATTAAGCACATAAAGTCAGGTGTAGTAGTGTAGACCTATAATCTCTGA